GGCTATGCATAAGATGCATAAGGGTAAAGCTACAGGGCCAAATGAAATATCTGTGGAATTTTGGAAGAATACGGGTAGGGCAGGTTTGGAGTGGCTCACTAAGCTGTTTAATGTCAAGACGAAGAAGATGCCCAATGAATGGAGATGGAGTACGCTGATTCCTCTTGTTTTTGGGCGATATCCAAAGTTGCAATAATTATAGGGGGATTAAGCTTCTAAGCCATACTATGAAAGTTTGGGAGAGGGTGGTTGAAGTGAGGGTGAGGACCAGTGTGTCCATTTCTGAGAACCAGTTCGGTTTCATGCCGGGGCGCTCGATTATGGAAGCCATTCACATTGTGAGGAGATTGGTGGAGCGGTATAGGGAGATAAAGAAGGACTTGCACATGGTGTTCATTGACCTAGAGAAAGCATATGACAAATTCCCGAGAGAGGTGCTCTAGCGATGCTTGGAGGCTAAAGGGGTCCCAGTAGCCTACATTAGAGTGATTAAGGACATGTATGATGAGGCTAAGACTCGGGTTAGGGCAGCGGGGGTAGACTCGGAACACTTTTCGGTTATGATGGGGTTGCACTAGGGATCAACTCTTAGTTCATTCCTATTTTCCTTGGCGATGGACGCGTTGACGAGACACATTCAAGATGAGGTGCTGATGACATAGTTTTAATTTACGAGACGCAGGGTGGTGTTAACGAGAGGCTGGAGGTTTGGAGGCAGACTCTAGAGTCTAAGGGTTTCAAGTTGAGCAGAACCAAGACGGAATACTTGGAGTGCAAGTTCAGCAACGGTACCCAGGAAGGGGATATGGAGGTGAGGCTTGATACGCAAGTCATTCCCAAGAGAGGTAGTTTCAAGTATCTTGGGTCTATAATACAAGATAACAGGGAGATTGATGAAGATGTCACGCATCGTATCGGAGCAGGATGAATGAAGTGGAGGCTCGCTTTCGGTGTCTTGTGTGATATGCCGCTGAGACCTAAAGGTAAGTTCTACAAGGTTGTAGTTAGACCGACTATGTTGTATGGAGCAGAGTGTTGGCCGGTCAAGAACTCTCATACCCAGAAGCTAAAAGCAGCTGAGATGAGTATGTTGAGGTGGATGTGTGGGCATACCCGGTTGGATAAGATTAGGAATGAAGTTATTCGGGAAAAAGTGGGAGTGGTTAGCCTTGTGGAGGATAAGATGCGGGAGGCGATGTTCAGATGGTTCGGGTATGGTAAGAGGAGAAGTATATAAGCCCCAGTTAGAAGGTGCGAGCGGTTAGCCTCGGTGGGTAGCAGGAGGGGTAGAAGTAGGCCTAAGAAGTCTTGGGGAGAGGTTATTAGGCGGGACATGGCGCAACTAGAGCTGACTGAGGACATGGCCCTAGACAGGAGGGTGTNAGAGGTAGGCCTAAGAAGTCTTGGGAAGAGGTTATTAGGCGGGACATGGCGCAGCTGGAGCTGACTGAGGACATGGCCCTAGACAGGAGGGTGTGGAGGTCAAAGATTAGGGTAGAAGGTTCGTAGGTAGTCGAGCGTTTCTCTTTGTCTTACTCAGATCGCTAGTATTAGTGTTAGTATGATATCTTTTATCCATAGATGGCTATTACTACATAGAGTTTGACTGCATTCTTGAATTCAATCTTATTTCATCTTGCTGTTATTCCTACTTGTTGTAATTACCTTTTCTTTTTCGGTTGTTCTCTAGCCGATGGTCTATCGGAAATAGCCTCTCTGCCCTTCCAGGGGTAGGGGTAAGGCTGCATACATCTTACCCTCCCAAGACCCTACTTGTGGGAAACTACTGGGTTTGTTGTTGTTGTTGTTGTTGGAGTAAAAGTATTTAACTATTTAAAGATAGACATGCCTTTGAAGTATGTAGTTCCTACATAACTTTCCCTTTGTAT